GGTGAGAACCTGGCGTGCTCCGTCCCGGCTTTGTAGGGATGCGAGGTCAATGGTCTAACGACTACGGCATGCACGACTATGAGTACACCCCCCCCGCAAACGAATCTAAAACCGACTCCTAACATTGCGAGAGCGTGTACTTCCGCATGTGTTGTACCACATGATGGCGTGGTGAACCAGCCCTTTTCCAGGGAAATTTTCAATGCCTTGTGTGATTCTTCCCCAACACAAAAGGTGCCGATGCATAGCATTGCCGTGTGCTGGACATTGCATCGAAACGCTACACGAAGTTTCGACCAATTGGCACGGTTCCCTATCCCGCCCACATTTTGTAGCAATCGGGCGGTACCATAATTCCATGCTGTGATTGGAGTAGCGGGGNGGGGGGGGGGGGGGGGGGGGGGGGGGGGGGGGTGGTATGCTACGTCATGGGCAGTAGACTCACATCCACGATAGCCTGCCTGTAGGAGCAAGAGACCTCCGCCAGCACTCCGTCCATGTCAAACAGGAGGGAAGTGAGAGGCATGGAGCTTCCGGCACACCAAGCGTTGACGTGCGTGGCACCAGAAGGACAGCGGGAGCAAATAACACATGTGTTCGTCGTGGCGGAGTTGGTCCTGCTCATGTTTAAATGCGAGCAACCTACACACGTGGAAATGGCGAGGTATCGCTGCTCTACAATCGACCCACGGCTTCGCTACCAACAAGTTGTACATCTGGCCGAGAGCGCAGACACATGGTGATATCTCCACCCGAGGACACTGCCGTGTGTTGCGGTGTACCCTCACACCTCTCCCAAGCTGTGCATTCTGGATGGCAGGTGTGAATGTCGCCAACTTTTCGCTTGTGACCAGCAGTGAAACTGAAGCGACTCATGTGATGGTTGACCGAAAAATCACAACGAATTCGTCCAGAACTGACCTGTTGGTGGAAGCCATGATCACCACTCCGAAAGGCAAGGGTTGTTGTCCAGCAACAGGGGCGCGGGATTGTCATCGTGATATTCGAGTAACTCGCGGTTGATTGGCTCACAATTACGCCGCATGTCCCCGAAAAATGAGCCGAGGCCTACGCATATATAGGCAAGGGAAAGACAGCGGACACCCGCCACCCGCCACCCGCATCCCGCATCCCTCGCCACCACCCGTGCGCACAACACGCACTTGATGTCGGAGCTGAAGCGCAAGAGAGAAGAGGATGACCCTGAAGAAGAGCCGGGTGTGACAGATGCGGTGCCTGTTGCTTCCCCAAGGGTAGCGCCGGTCCCTCCAACGGCGGTAGCAGCGGTCCAGCCAGCCGCAGCAGCAGCCGCCGCACCACGAGAATCAACGGCGTCGGAGGGCGGCAAAAGTGATGAGGCAGGACCAGCTACAGACACGGCAGTAGCACCAGATGGCACTGGCCCGCCTGCGATTTCCGCAGAGAAAGCCGCGGCAGGAGCGACGTCGGAGGGCACACGGCGAGGCAAGTCGAAACCGCCAACAACAGCAGGGAAAATCACGATTTGCGGCAAGGAGATCACCCTCCAACACACGGGAGGCCGCAAGAAACGAAAGCACCCGATGGAAACGCTGATCCTCCTGGCCTACAAAGAGGAGCTGACGCTCAAGTGCAAGGCAAACAACATGATTTCCGCGCTGGAGATCCACCAAGAGATGAAGAGTAAGGGCATCAAGCAGGACCTCTCGGTGAGAAAAGCACTTTCGTTTTTTGTTCTCGCGAACTGGGTGGCCCTCGTGTTCCCTCGAGGGAAGATTCAGACTTGTCGACAATCATCGATCCACGGATCGGCGGGCGGTGCTCACGCCTACATGCGCGTAGTTCTCCATCCACATCACGGCTGTCCACTGCGAATTTGATGGATCGAGTAGCGTACTAAACAGTGTTGCCATTTTCGCACCACCTGAGAGTAGCGGCAACACCCGTATGTAGAAGACACGCACTCCCTCGCAATCCCTCCTGAGCATGTGCCGCCCCCTCGGCCGACCGCCTCCTTCCCGCCGCGGAATCACGTCCTGACATCTCTCGGTGCGCCAGACCCACATGATGGTGCTTTCGCTCTGCGGGGGATCACCGGGTGACAGAGACGAGCTGGACCCAGGCAACGGCTCGACAGGCGGCCACGCTGCCAGCGTGGAGAGAACGGCTGCCGCCGTTGCCAAGGGGAGGGTCGAGGGAGCCTCCGCTCAAGACAACACCTTCGCTGCCGCCGAGGCGGCGCTACAGGTGCATGTTTGTTGGAGGGGAGGGAGGGGGGCTTGAGGAAGGAGTGAATAGGGGGAGTTCGCCGGAAGTTGCGCTCGACGTTCAGCGTTCAGAGTGTGGATTGTGGTGGACATTATTGCCGATACTAAAACCACTTCTACTTTGTCACTTCAGCGCTCACAGCATTTTTGCCGGGTAGCTCAGTGCGTGGTCCGTCATACACGCGGGGTCCCTCTCCCTGCGCCCCCTCCTCACCCCTCCTTAAAGCAAAAAATAATCGAGAGGGGAGGGCTCTCAGAAGTGCTGGTTTGTACTCATCAAAGACACCGGCATTACTGATGCCTTCCGACTGCTGTTTTCAACCGCGTGATGGTCGATGACAAGCATGTTACGGTACTCTTGTTGGATTCTCAGCTCGTTGCCTTACTTCTCTCTTGCCCCTCTTCGTCGCTGTCTCGCCGGGGCCCGGTGAACCGTGACTGCCTTGGGTCCATGGGCCGGCAGCGCAGATATTTTCGGACGCGTCGAAGGGCGGCACGGTATCCTTGCCGGAGTCGGCATACACGGCCGTGATTCGCGCGTGCTGCCGGGATGGCCGAGCAGACAGGGCCAGAGAAGCTCTCGAGGCCCTCAAGCAAGCGGGCTTGAAGCCACGCGTCAGGTGAGGTGGGTAGAGTTGCGCTTTTTTTTTGCAAGTTGTTTTGTTGTGTTCTGCCTTGAATCTTTATTTTTGTCCAATGCTGTTCGTTCATGGCCTCTGCCGTAGCCCCACTCCATGTCGTCACCCATCCCCTGAAGAATGTAGTTTTTGTGGTGATCGTTCCCCCCCGATGCTCGTCCTTTGTTCAGCATCGGGACGATCGTTTCCCCCCGATCTTGACGCGCCCCCGCCTGCGACAAACACAACAACTCGACAGTCTCTTGTCTTGCAATTCCAACCATTACTACATATATCCTTCCTCTGTTGAATGGTTTGTCGCACATCGCACTTGACAAGATGCTTTTCGACCCGACATCGCCGGAGCGACATGCGTCTGTGTGTGGTGTCAGTCGCTGCTTTTAACAAAGATCCCCCTGCCGCTTGCCCTTTACGGTGCTGTAGTATTTTCCTCTCTAAATAAATCCTCAATGCTGGTCTGAGTTGGAAGCGACGCGCTTCAAAGCTCGTTGTCAGTGAACTGATTACTTCATTGTCGACATCGATTCAGTCGTCGCGAGGGGAGGGATTGCTGTACCCCTCTCGCGATAAAAATGTCTCAGGCAGGCACCGCACGAGGTAGGTGGGGACAAAAGAAGATAAAAAGAAGAAAAAAACCCGGCGTGGGTACCCCCTCCTGTGACCCCGGACGGTGCGTCTAGCTAGTTGTAGTGTACCAAGCACGCTGACAAGGGCAAGTGTACATGCGCGTCAAACGTGTGGTGTGCACCGAAGAGGAGTAAGCAGGCGGCGCCAGAGATGCGACGAAAATATATATATACTTGGCAGCCTTGTCGTTCAAAAATACGATTTGTTCGAGTTAGTTCACGCCCCCTACATGTACCTGTTCTTACTTTCACCTTGTTTTGCTCTCGCCGGCGTTGTTGATGCCTGTGATGCGATGCGTTCGTGCTCCGTGTTTTGTTTACCCTTTGCGTATGTTGACATCGTTTCCTGTTAAACACCCCGTTACCAAACGCAATGTTGCATCAGGACATACACCCCTTTGTTGGAGGCGTACTCGAAGCTCGACGGGCGGCTCGAGGACTGCATGGCCCTCTGGCGGGAAGCGGTCTCGCCCCCTGGAGGGCTTCAGCAGGGGATCACGATGACAGAGAGGGAGTACTTGCACCTCATCGCCGCATGCACCAGGGCTCGAGATGAAAAGTGGTGAGAGGTGTCATGGACGTGTGTCTCCCGCTTTGCTTTCCGGTGCAAGACCGCTGGAGCCTTTCCTCTGTCCTCAAAGTATCTCCCATGTAGCAGCTTGAGGCAGCTTGTGTTATTATGGGGCAACTCTCTTTCCCTCTTGGGTCTTTCTACCATGCCCCGAAGTGTAACTCCTGCAGTGGCGCCGTTTCTTCACCTTGCAATGGCATTAACACGGCTCCTCCCCTCCCTCCCTTCTCCCACCCTCCTCTCGTTCCCAGCTTTTTGGAGGTGATGACGGAGTACATGGACGACGTGCTCCAGCCGCGCAGCCGGCACAGCTGGGACGTGCTGAAGTCGTGGTTCAAAGTGGGTCCCAACGTGATTGGCAACGGCTACGTGAAGCACAGAGAAGTAGCGGCAGCGACAACAGCGCGAACAAAGCCGGAAGAGGGCGAGATCGAGAACCCGCGGTCAGGAGAACTCCCCGACAATGGCGGCATCAGTGAAGGAGATGGCGGAGAATCGGGCCAAGAATCAACGGCAACGTCAGGCGCCGCCGCTGCTGCTCCCACTCTCGCCGGTGATGCTGCTGGCGCACCGGGTGTTGGTGACTCGGCACCTTCGTTATCGAAAGCGGTAGTAGCGACTGAGCCACCAAGCGCCAGGCCGGACGGTAGCCACGGCACCGATTCAGCACTAGCCCCTGCATCGTCGTCGCCCTCTCCTGCTCCTGCCCCTCAGGCAGACGGTAGCAGTGGCGATGACGCCACGGGAGCTGCTGCAACATCTCCCCGTGCAGCGGGTGCCTATGCGGTGGGACGTTCTTTCCAAGCAGACGGTTGTGGTGGTGATGATGCCATGGAAGACGCTCCGCAGGCAGATGGTGATGAGGCGGTGGGAGGTCCTACTCCAGTAGCTGGTGAAGATGCCGTCGAAGAAGCGAGTCCCCGGGCAGATGCCGCTGGAGGCGAGAAGGAGCCGCCAAGCGGCGGCACCAGTGGTTGGATTGTGACGGAGTGTTACGTCCGTAAGGACGGGACGTGCGAAAACTGCGGGGAGGTCATGAGGTCGATCGAGCTCTCGGAGGACGATGAGCAGCGTCTGCTGAAGCAGGTGGGTTCGCGTTGCTTTTCTCATCGGAGTTTTTGTTTTTTTCCGCCCAAACGCACACGCCAGCGAAATATGCAGTCTAGAGCTGTTGGCGGAGGGGGCGTCCTAGAGCGTGTTTGTGATGAGTTTGCTTCTGTTTTGCAAAGCCGTGGCTTCGATTTGTATAGTTGTGGGAGTTGAGAAGAAAATGGTCGCAACGTGCAGATGGGCATCCAAATACTTGCGTTTGCGTGATTCCACATAGCAGCTCGTGGGTTGTGTGGAGCGCGCATCCTTTCCTTCTCCCAGCACTACACCCCAGTGACTGCATCGATATTAGCTCTATCGGACGGGTCCTCAAATAGCCCGGTTTGACGAAAAGAATCGTGAGGAGGGGTACCAACGTCGGAGTAGAAATGTTTTGTGCGGCACCTTGCGCGGGTAGTGCAAAGTTGACGGCCGTAGCCTCCTCTGAATTGCGCCATGTTTCTTTTGTCCTCCCGATGACTGCATCGATGTTGGCGCTATCGGACGGGTCCTCAAATAGCCCGGTTTGACGAGAAGAAATCGTAAGGAGGGGCCAACAACGACCCTCCTACAGGACACGTTTTGCATGGAAGAGCTTGCGCTACCCGATGCGTTTCCTCTCATAACTCTTGCTACCAGAACGTGGAGTGCGCTGCTTTATTTCGGGGCCGTAGCTCTTGCTTCCTGTCCTCGTATCTGTTTCATTGCCTGCTCCACCAGGCAGATCGTATCATCGAGAATCGTTATGACGGGTTGAATGAGTGTGTCGTAATCAACTTTGGCATTATACTTGTTGTCACGTTCAAGGGCGATGTATGTCGTGCACGAGAACAAGGACAAGCCGTTGACACAAACGTCACGTAGCCCTCAGTGGACGTGTCGAGATTGTCCCCGTCGGATGGATTCTCAAACTAGCCCGTTTTAGGCGAGGGGACAAAGGAATGTGCGTACTAAAGGCAGCGCGTTTGCATGTCCGGACACACGTGAGAAAAGTACAGGACCTTATTCAGTCTGCTATTGAAGCGTACCATGTAGTTGATGAACTTGTGCAAACGATCCACGTATACACTTGTGCTTCTCGCCATGCACCCCCGATGACTGCATCGATATTAGCTCTATCGGACGGGTCCTCAAATAGCCCGGATTGACGAGAAGAATCGTGAGGAGGGGCAACGTAAAGACAGCGTTGTGGTCATCGGCTGCAGCATGGAATTCAGTGTTTCGCTGCAACAAGGCATCTCTGGAGCAAAAGCTTCAGTGGAAATGTCACGGACACCAGGAAAATAAATTTGAGACTTGCATACTTTTTTTTAGTTGGAACGATATCAACCCTCTTTCTTCGTGCCACTGGACATTGCTTAGTTTGCTGTAAGTATCGATATGCTGGATGTCAGTACTTCCAAGCGGTATCGCGAAGCACTTCGGTGGTAGCGCACTCTAGGGTAGACTTGCTTATATGTCTGGCGCTCGTTGAATGCCGGGCCAAAACGGACCGTTCACTTGATGTCAGACAATCAACTCCGGCTGCATCTAGGTGCTTCTTTTTTCCCGATGACTGTAACGATCAAATGCTCTATCGATCGGATACCTCGGGGCCTACATCCCTGAGATCCCTGACGAGGAAAACATCGTACACAAAAGTGTGAGGAGGGAATTGAAATACAAACACATACAACCGGTACCGGGACCCGGCAGTCAGTGTGCGTGTGCCGTACTGTGTGTGCCTGACTAGAAAGTACGCAGAAGTAGTTTACTTCTTCCGGTTCATGTCCTTTAGCGCGCGAGCTTTCACGGCGAGTGTGCTTCGGTAGCTGCCTTGTCTCGAAGATGTTTAAGTGTTTCCCTGCGCCCTCAGAAGTTCTTCGGGAGCCGGCTTGTCGTTGCTGTTCCACGCACGCGTGCACCGAAGACGGCTACTGAGTTGCTTGATCACGGCCTTGGCTTCAAAAGAACGAGCGCTGCTGCATGCACTGATTCAAACGGAATGGTCTGGTGCAACGCTAGTTGGAAGCGGCTGCCGTGTTCGTTAGTCCTTTGTAATCCCTTGGCTGCTGAATCGACGAGCTTGCACTGCGTCCATCTGTTGCCCGTACCCTCACCCACCATAATAGCGTGGCAAGACTCAACTTGCACTTGTCCTCAAGATTTTTTCGGCAATCTTGTTAAGGTAGCGCGTACTCGAAAACCCTGGCGGTGACCCAGCGATGGAATCCGATGATTGGTACGGCTTTCACTCCGTTTTTTCCCACCGGAGCACATGGGCCGTCAAGAACGGCCTCATTCGGGACAACAGGGCCAACAACCATCCAGCCCTCCCTCCTCGCTCTCCCGCCCCCGCAGATCGAAGAGCTGGTTTGCACGAACGAGCAGCGAACGCATCAGTGGGAAGGGTTTCGCGGCTGGCTGGAGCGACGAGGGAAGCAGCGGTACAACGTGATCATCGACGGGGCCAACGTGGGGTACTACAAGGCCTGCCTCAGCGAGGGCGAGCTCGCCGACCTTCGGCAGGTGGACTGGGCAGTCAAGAAGTTCCAAGACGAGGTGGGAAATTTTCCCTTGTCTTTCAAACATCGCCTGTGCTGCTTGTGTATGAGGAGGGTCCCTGAGATTTGGTATGTACAAGCCGAACTTGTGTGCGGCGAATTAAGAACAAGGGTGATAGAGGGGCGATGGATGGTGGTCGTGTTTTTGTAGAATGGTTGTGGAGCTCGGCCGACGTGCCGCATAGCACACGTGATCGAGCAGCTGTTGCTTTTGCGTCGTGCTCTGCTTTTGGCCCAGGAAGATACTTGCCAGGCCCAAATGTCTCTTTATCCCTCCAGATCGACAAACGGGCAACTTGATTAAAGAACCGCAGAAAACGTACTTTTTTGCTCGCGCCATGATCTGTGATTGGGACATTTTATCCTCAAGGGAGTGGACCACACACGACAGAGCTGGGTAAAACGAAACAGGGTGGCGATTTGGTCGTCCTCCCTCGACGGTAGTATCGTGATACCCTCCTTGCTGAAATATCTCCACTCCGGCCCGCGTACCAAACCACCGGGAGAGTTTTTGTGAGAAAGCGCGTGGGATCGGGAATAACTACGCGATTTATTTATGTCACGTCCTTGACGTGACGTTCACGTCGACCTTTTGCCAATGACGAACAGCCACATTTCGCTTACACGAAAACAGGGACGAAGGGTGGTGCGGTAGACGCGAAAGCGCTCCCCGGGCCCCGTTCTGCCTACATGTGTGATTTCTACGCTGCGTTCTTTCCGAGGCAAAGAGAGAAAAGAACATTTCATGTACACCAATGGCCACATCGCTGTCGTTGTCTTTGACCACTCACTTTGTCTTGGAGACGTTTGTTTAACAACCGTTCGCATCCTGAAGTATTACCTCGTCTTAACCGCAGTCCCAATCAGGAAGCGACAAATTTCTGTGGTGAAAACAACCATACGGCTTCCTTTCTTTCTTCTATAGAGAAGAAAGTTCGCAACTCTATCGTGATACCCTCCGTGCTGAAATATCTTCACTCCGGCCCGTACGAAACCACTGGGAAAGTTTGTGTGAGAAGGCCGGAAATCGGGAGTAACTTGGCGATTTATTTGACGTCCTTGACGTGCACGTCGACCTTTGCCAACGACGAATAGCCACATTTCGCTTGCACGAAAAAAAGGGACGAGGGGTGGGCCGTACGCGCGAAAGCGCTCCCCGGGCCCCCTTCCTGCCTGCATGCATGACTGTTACGCTGCGTTCTTTCCGAGGCAAACAGAGCAAAGAACATTTTTATGTGCAGCAGCGGTTACATCGCTGTCGTTGTCTGCTACCACTCACTTCGTCTTGGAGACATTTGTTTAACAACCGTTTGCATCTTGAAGTGTCACGTCCTCTTCGCCGCAGTACCAATCGGGAAGCGACAAATTTCTGTGATCACAGGCCATGCGGTGACCGTTTGTTTTCTACAGAAGGGAAAATTCGGAACTCGCCGTTGCTCGTGTCTTACACTGTAGAAGCATTGCAAGTACTTTTGGTGTCTTTGTAGACATTTCTTCTTGAAACAGCGGCATAGAATTCGCGTCTATGCAGTATCCTGTTTGCCCATATTTGCTACGTAAGTGGGTTCGAGTCCGAGAGGGAGCTGATTTTCTTGCTAAAAGTTATGAAGGGAGGGTTTATTTGTGTAAAACACACAAAAAACAACTGTGATTCGCTCTGTATGCGTTCGGGACGGCATGGCGTACTTCACATGTTGACGCTGATTGTCCCCCTTGTCCGCTTCTTGGTGGAAGGGGGCACGATAGGGAAATAATGCTACAGGGGTGACGGGTACATGGGAACGCGCGGGCGTTGCCGAGGCGCCTTTCTTAGGATTAGGATGAGGACCACTTCTTCCCGACAGAGCTGCGCGGTTAGAAGTGACGTCACAACGGCAAGCAGCGAACCAGCAACCTCGCCTCCTCCCGCTTGAAACAGGGCAAGAAGCCGCTGGTGGTGCTGCACAGCCGGCATCTTGTGGAGAAGAGGCTCTCCGATGAAGCGAAAGAGATTTACAAGCGGTGAGTGAGATAGATGATAGAGATGGAGAGCTGCAGTGACAAAACCTCAAGTCTATGAACCCTGGCTACTGTCGGAGACAGAGGCCGGTGCCTTGGCAGTATTATCCCACTGCCAGGGGAAGGCTATTTCCTCTCGTGATATGTAAACGAGGAGAAGAGGGTAGAAAGAAAGAGTGGCCAGAGAGAGCAGAGGGAGAGGAGAGTCGAAGACTCTCCGCTTCTCCTTTCGGAAAGTGGCCATGGACTTCGGAAGAGACAAATCTCCGACGGTGCGTTTCTTGTCACTCTCCCAGTGACAAGATACCCCGATGGAGCTATATCTTCCTACACTTTGTATGTGCACTCATGTTGGTTATACTCCCGACAGGTGTCCTCCACAAGTCCCCTGCATTTTTTTTTTCATTTAATTGTCTCACTTCAAATCAGCGCTCACAGTGCTTGTGTCTTTTCTCCAACCCGTGGCCACAGAGAAGATTCCCCTCCTTGGGGCCCCCTACCCACCCCTCCTGCGGTAGTTCGCCTTCGATTTTCATGTCCCGTGTATGCTTGTTCGGGGTCACTCGGCGCTTGGTACAGCCCTACGAAGATTTAGGATTTAGGAGGCTTCCTGTATGATTGTGGTGTATGTGTTGTGGGGGGCGATCACCCTTGTGCGTGCATGGGCAAACGTGCCCGACGCCCACTCGCTAATGATACAAGCTCTTTGTGTGACTGCAAGCAAGCAGCATGACACTCAATCGAGAGGCGGTTGATATATCCAGCGATGCCCGCGGAAACAGACCGTGGCGACACCCTTCCCCCCCCTTCCCTCCTCCCGCGAGTTTCGCACCACCGTTTTTCATGTCGGTTTATTTTTCCATTTTTCGGCCTACAGTAGATACTCCTGACAGGTGGATAAGAAGTGGCGGTGACCCCACATACCCCCACCCTTTTCTCATCATGGTTTCTGTGTTTGGGGGGTGCAACACAAATATCCGCATACGTCTCCAAACGTCAACAAACCAACTCGTTTAGGTGGAAGGAGGCGGACATGATCCAGTCTTGCGCGCCGAAGAACAACGACGACTGGTACTGGCTGTACGCGGCGGTGTACACGGGAGGCTCGGTGCTGGTGCTGACGAACGACGAGATGAGAGACCACCACTTCTCAATGCTTTCGCACCGCTCCTTCCAGAGATGGAAGGAGAGACACCAGGTACGTACGTACGCTGCTGGACGGCATTATTCTCTTCAACACCCACCCCAACAAATTGATTCGTGCGCTGTGGGCATTCGCAGAAGTTGCAGCTCTTGTCTTGCCTTTCTTGACTCGCGCCAGCGTCATTGGAATCGTTGTTACAGTACATGGCAAGTTTTTATTTACCAGTGCGCATAGGCGGCAGTTGCCTGCGACATTGTGTTGTTTTACACTTTTTGTTTTGATCATCGGTCACCCGATAATCAACAGCTTTGACTCAAAATAGAGCCACAAAGCGTAAATGTGACGGCTTGTTCGTTTGTCGCACGGCCTATTCAGAAGATGGGGTAGGAGGCGAGAAGGCTTCGAGTGCACTTGTTGCAGGATCGTTGTGCTGTGGTGTGGTATTCTGAGCGACCTTATCTTCCCCTCCTGTGCTGTGCGTTGGTGATTGTTTATTTTTCAAGGTGCAACAACAAGCTTGTTTGTCGAAGCGCGCACGACAGTAGTTTGCTTTTACATGTTGTCTTAATTTTTCCCTAAACATTGTTTTCCTGGATAGCAAAGGTAGAGTCCTTGCAGAGCACACGACCAGGGAAGGACAACACGACCCGAATAGGACATGGATATACCCCGCGGCATGCTACCGATCGGGCAATGGTGGCGAATTACGTTAACCGCTCACCTCCGTCGCCGGGGGCATGGATGGAAAAAGTACCTTGCGAACGGACCACCGAAACGACGGCGGTCGCCGTGTTGCATATTTTATGTAGACTACTCTACCTATTGAAGGCTCTCGCTGGCAAAAAAGTGTTGTTTGTAGTGTACTAATTTCTTGTTTCTCCGTGTCTCCGCGCTCAATCTCGCTGCTTCATATGTTGCTCGGCGGGTGTCGACGGCCGGCGGACCTGATGGATCCGACAATCTCTGTACGCAGGCCCGCTTCTACTTCGGCGACTGGAAGGGAGAAGGCGGCGACGACGACGAGCGAGAAGTCATCACGGAGGAACCCCGGTCGTACTCTAAGCGGACGCAGAAGGGCGTGGACTCGTGGCACGTGCCCCTTGAGCGCTCGCGCGACTGGCTGTGCGCCAGGTGGCAGCCGCAACAGCAACGATAGCGAACATATCACGTTTTTTGTGCGCAGTTTGGTTATCGTGTGTGGAGAGTGTGTGATGTGTGTTACAGCCATCGGTCAAGGGCGTGATGACGCCCGCGTCAAATACTCAGCGGGCTGTCTCTGATGACTTGTGTGTTGTTTTCTCGTATGTCTTGTATAGATTTGTTTTCTTTGACGCGCGAGCCTTTTTTACTGTGCATGCACTTGTGGAGCTGTGTTCAAACGTAATGAACGTGCTAGCAGCTCCTTTGGCGAGAAAGTCACAAGGACCGAACCCAAATCGGAGCAAATTGCATTTTACTTGCTTTTGTTCACATGAGCACTACCAAAACAATTGGCCGTTTTTACCTTCTGTGAGTAGACGGTCTGTTGTCGGTAGGACCATGTTGATACTTCGAAGACCGAACTTATTCTCTGAAAAGACGAAAAACTTGAGTGGTAGGGGTGCCTGATAAGATTGTATCAACAAAGGAAGGTACCATGGTTGTGTGTGCCCTTTTATTTTTTAAGTGACTTGGGGGAACACATGCATCGCAAAGTTGGGCCTTCTTGTGCCGTTGTGGGCACCATCACTTGGTGTTGTTTCATTTAGGAACTCGCGGGTGCGTTGTTACGGGTTTCGAACGAATGTCACTCTTGCCGTCCTCCTCCCGGGTAGCCGAGGCGGGGATATGCTCTTGAGGCGAAGGGAGATAAATGGAAAGTGAAGGATCGACAAAAAGAGTGCCTCATCAGTTGCCGGATGCCTCGGCGGAATCTCGGGGCGTGTGCATCATTGGACTTCTTGCAGAGGGTTAGGGTTAGGGTGAGGGTTACGCTTGGAATACGAGAATGATCCGCCATGTGTGGGTCCCGTGTATTTCTGCATCGATCGCGCTAACCGGTTGACCCACAAAAGACAAGGTCGTGTGAACTGGAGGCTGCAATGTGAACGTGTCGCATATTACGTCCAGGCGCCAGATTTTTACACCTTTCGTTCGGTGTGTTGGGGAGTAGGGAGCACCAGCCGGGGGAGTCCGTCGGTGTCGGTACAGCGCCTCGTTCCACCTGTTGCCCGAGCTGTGATGCACGCAGGGAGTACAATCCCTAAAATTTGGCAACAGCTACCGCCTGCGCCGCGGCCATTATTCTGCCCTGCGCGTTGGAAGTGGGCCAACAGCAGTTTTTATCGTCCCGATTTACGATTGTGTATTGCGCATGGAGATTTCTTTCTCGACTATAACCAAGAAAGGTCCGCCGTAGACTTCGATACATTCTAGTAAAGTAATTTGGCGTTGCTGAACCACGCGAATGGAATAGTGCCCAGATGGGTAACACGGTGGATGTGTCCTGATGGAGGATCTCGTGACCCCAACGTCGTCATACATGTCGAAAAGATTTGAAAAGATCCCCGATCCCTTGCCGATCCCACCACCCTTCTTTGATGATACTTCCCGAACCAGGTATCGGGGTTGAGGGCTTCGATCTCTGCAACCGAACTGGTGCTGACAGCATTCCCAAGGTTTCGGGTCTCCATCGACCTACATTCACTTTGTCCCTGTCATTTTCATTCGTGTTTGTAACCCACCCCCAACGGGGTCTCAAATGCTGATTTCGACTTACAGAGCAACTCTCGCGCCTCACGTATGGTTCGGTAGGGAATCGCAAACCATGCCCCCTTCCCCGAGGTTGAATTGGCTTTGCCGCTTGCCTGGGTAACTCTCTTCTCTGAACTCGTGGGGGCAGCCATACACACAGCCACATAAGCCAATTTCGTGCAAACAAGCGGACGTCATTCTGTCGATATCCATCCCTCGAAGTTTCATTCGCCTGCCCCACCGCTTTGCCCGACCCGGTCTAAAACGCTAATCTTGAGCTGCAGTGCAAATCTCGTGACGCTTAGAGTATGGTTCGGTGTGGAATCGCAAATCATGAGCCGTCCCCGAGTTTTAGCAGCTTCCGCCTGCTGTGGCCGGCAAGAGCTTGACTGTTCCTTTTCCCTGTCTCGCCATGGAAATGGCTGGTTGCACAGCGACAGAGGGTCCTTCCTACGTGCTGCGCGGAAGGCGTGGTCAATGTTCGCATGAGGACGTGCGGTCACCCCAGCTACCACACGAGCGTCGATTTGCCTCGCGGGTAGCAAGAAGGCGCAGTTTTGCTCTCGACACGCGGCGGACGACATGGTCAACGTAAACGAAGAAAGCACCGCACGCCATGAGCGGCTAAGCCCAGGCCAAAGGCTAACGAAACGGTTTCGCGGTACGTGTCATTAAAGGGGCTGGCTGAACCTTCCTACTACAGTATCGTAGGGTCAATCAAGCGAGCCCGCCGGGACGGCACCGTTTGTCCTTTGGGAGGTGCATCAGTCAACGTAGAGCCGGCGACCACATGAGTCCGTTCACATCCGGCAGTAGGTACGGGTTGTTGCCCCGCCTGCAGGAACAAGTTCCTCGGTCGACCCTGACGCTGCCTCTAGGATGAAAATATCGCGCGATTTCGCGTTCAAATGAATGTACACTTCGTTTTGGCATGATGGCGGAGCTCTCAGGTTACATTAGACTAGTCTTTTTTGTCGGCCTGCTGTCATTCTCATGTCACCGCTTTGTGTGGCCGAGCACTGTTTCGTGCTGTGGTTAAAGCGGGCTCGAAAAAAATACTCATTCCAAGACTCCCAATACTTGCCATAAATCCCTCGCTACTACTGCTGTCAATGTCATAATCCCCACCGAAAAGCATCACTTGGACAAATCGGAAAACAACATTGGAGCGCGACTAGAGAAAATCTGCTCGAGGCCATACCGCTGCCCACAGAGACCAACACGTACCTAGGACACCAGGAAGGGAGAGCGTGCTCAAATCACAGGAGGGATTCATTCGAACAGCCAACACAACCACCCCCTTGGGGCAAAAACGCCGCCCTCCTTCTGCCTCCATCCGGTCCTACTCTGCGTACTTCTTGGATAGCCGCACATGCGCTGGTGCTAAATTTCCACCTGTGTGCTCTCACGGGAAAAACGCTCGGCGTCTCCCCGTCTGAGTATTGCTTCAGCGTGAGAATGTACCCAGGTGTAGCCGACGTCTGTACGGATGGACAGGGTAGGCACTTACAGGAAAATCTGAGTGTATTTGCAAGAAGCGCGTGTGTCGCACGGATGCCCCTACACAACAAAATCGAGGCTACACCAGTAACCAAGTCCAATACCGGAATGCGGTGGCGGTCGCGGACAGGGGGCAAGGGCTGCCAGGCTAGCAGAGGGAGGGCTGGCAGACTCGCCGGTTCACGGACAACCTGTAAGTCACAAGTTGCCGGAATGCGGCTTGACCCCAACAACCGATACGTAACGCTCCAAGCTGATTGTACTCCAAACGCCTTCCTGTTGGTGGTTTGTTGCGGGACGACACGGGACGCAAGTCGAAAACAGAAATGCAAGTTTGTCGGGTTAGAAAGCAACGGATGGAGGCTACAAACACAACCGTGTATCGGTGCCAAGCTCGTGACGGTTGTGTTGTGGCAAGTGCAGCAGCAGTAGCAGCAGCGGAAAACAACACGTACGATCTGTGGTTCGCATGCGTTGTCGTTCATCGAGATGTTGTAGCCGACTGATTAATGGTTCGACGGCTGCGTTGCCGGCTGCTCTACCAGTCAGGGCAACTGAACACGTGGCAAGTTGACGCGTAGAAACTCGCACTCTGCTATCCACTTGCAGGGCTAGTGGCGTGCACACACACTCCACTTGAAACTACCCCTTGACAAGAGTAAAAACGGGTGTGCCTTACGGCAAAGGAGTGCTGAAATAGTTGAAGTCCGTGCATAACAAAAAAAACGTGTTTTTCCCAACACAAACGACAACTTTTCTCTGCACACAGGTAGTTGTTCCGAAATCTGAAAGTACCAGCAACCGCCCTGTTTCCAGGCGCATGGCGTGACGGAGATTTTTTTTTTCCCTTTTCGTTGACTTTTTACCCCCGAAAAAAACGGGAAAACTTTACTCGTTTACGGCGCGACAACCAAACGATCGCTTTCAAAATGAACAGCGGCAAACGATCCCTTTGATCAGTCTCAAGATGAGCGTTTTTGTTTTTTGCTGGGAAAAATCTGGTTCTCCACATATTCTGCTTTATCTTGTGCCGCACCACGGGATATTTTCTCTGCTGGGCGACACACCACACACCACACGCGGCAGCCCCGAAGAACACAAAACAAGCACGCAAGCACCATGGGGAACCCAAAGGGACGACCTAAGAAAAAGAAGATCGGCAGTCGCGGAGCCGACGTCAAGGCGGCTTCCAAGAAAAGTCGAAGCTGGCGCAGCAACATGAGCATGCGAATAGACTGCACATGTACGTGTTTTCGTCAGCATTGCTTGATTTTTGTATTGCTAGCGCGCGATCAGTTACGAATAGATGTGTGTGGACGAGGGGAATTTCAGAAGGGGGGCTCCGTGGCGTCAAATTGGGGTACCGTGGCGTAAAATGGGGGTCAACGTGGTGATGTAGGGGGCAACGCAGAGATAAATGGTGGCTCCGTGTTCATTTTGCCCAAAATTATTGCATTTCCCAAAACGAAAAAACTCTGCAGCTATCGACGTAGCTTGACGAGGCCATGACGAATATCGTTGTTTCGCGTTTCAAATATTTTCTTTACAAAGTTGTCGCACAAAACGTGAATGGACAAATTGCTGTGCATGGACCTGTAGCAGCAGCAACAGGCGACGTGAAGAGCGAACACAACGTGGTCTGAGTGCCAAGCGTGGAATGTTAGCCCAACAACCCCAACGACGTCCTGTTACTACACGGAAAAACGTGCTTCGAAGTACGAGACAGAGAGCAACTCTTGACCTCAAGCACACAGCGCGCTGAGTTCGTGACCAAACCTCTTCCAAATGGAGGCTTCTCGTGCGCATCGTGATTGATTCGTGATGAATATTCGTTGATTTTAGTTATTGACCCACTGTTTGGTGTCGTGGTATGGGGTCCCAAAAGACCGTCATCGTCACGCCAGGTTATTGTGGACCTGCACATATGATCTTAGGTGTGCGTGGCCTTGGTGATACAATCTGTCAGCACTCTTTTACGTGTATGACAGTTGCTCATAGGTTGTTCTTGCCTTCTTGAAAGGGTCGTTGTCCACAAATTTCTGAGCTTCCTCTCGCGTGGCCGCCACCAAGAAGAAACTACCGATCATGTAGTCGTCGACTTCGTCGACCAACGGCCCCGCCGACACCTTGTTGATGAACCGCGGATCTTCCGGGTTTGCCGTCGCCGCCTGGTATTCCTGGCGGTCCGAGTTCGAGAACCAGTTACCAACAAAGAGTTGTTCAGCGCTCATTAGCATACATGGACGCGAAGATAGCGGACTAGATAATAAATCGATTCCGTCTTGTGGTTGTCAAGGCCAATCGCAAACTTTTCCTCACCGTCTGCCCCTGAGTGTAGCGGCTCAGGGACGCCTTTGGATTCTACACAGCAGAAACAAGACCGGTGACAACTGAGGCCATGACTGCAGCACCGCGCGCTCCCCCTCCCTTTGCCCCCTCTAGCAACATTGCCTGGGATTAGCATAGACTGCTGTGTTTCTTACCGCAGTCGGTACCATCACACACCTTGTGCGCAGGATAATTTCCCATCCGCTTGGCCGAGCCTCCTCGAGGTTCTCCATCTGCCTTGCCACAAGACTGATCATCCAGGCAGTGTATTGCGTAGAGGTGTTTTTCTGTGAGTTGGGCGAGGGAACGGGGTGGAGGAGCAGACCGAGAAAGGGGCCGACGATCGCAACAGCCGGGCGTCAGTGAGTGATATCCCTTTCAGACAATTTCACCTGTACCATTGAATCAAACTTCGGGCATGCGGCTGACTTGGGTCTGATTCTGTCTTCATTAGGTGCTGTCGAAGGGAATGTTGCTCGAATTCTAGCAGGGAATCAAGCCACTAATAAATCAGTGCAATACACGGGGGGGGGCGCTATAGTGCCG